TGCAAAAGTCAGCAGGGGTTTGCCCATATGAGCGTAACGCAGGAACAACTAGATTCAATCGTTTTTCTTATTCTAAGCCTTTACGGTAGTGTTACCACAAGCGACCAGCGATGGTCGTAGCTTTCAAACGTTATTCCACCTGATCCCAGCTAGGTTCATTGGAGGGGCATTTTGTTGTACATCTATCAGTTTACAGTGCTATGCTCGCCACCTAACTGGGTCTCATTATTATCATCGACTGCTGCTAATCTGAACGAAACCAACGGGGGGAAGTTTTATTTTTTTTGTTTGTTTTTATAATTAAGTCTTATTGTAGTCTTGCGAACGCTGAAAACGCAATAGAGGTGCTGTTGTTACGTAGCCATGGACGTAGTCGAAGGCTGTCGACGCTGCGAAAAATATTCTGCTTTTGGCAGAATATACTACTGTAACAAGACTAGCCAGCAGATTCGTAAGCCGTTTAACGCGATCTTGATTATTTGATTTAGATCTGATGCTGCCCAGTTGCAACAGGTACGTTTCGTCTATTGTCCTAGGCCGAATGACTTTAACAATACTGAAAACCCCTTGCAATCAATTTTACTTCCCGAATCTGACAGGTTTTAGAGCTAGACCCCGATTTCATGCATACATGCGTAGCCGATACGCCAGTGATCGTAGCTGACATCAGTTTACCTTTCGATACATTCGGGACCGTCCAGAGCAGTCCACTGATCTTCGTCGTTTCGACTAACGCAGTGGTTACAATCAGTGGCGAGCAAAATATACCAAGAATACGTTGATACGTTGGCTCGCACCCAGGGATACTACCTGGACGCAGGCGTACGAAGCTCAGTCGCTATCTTAGTGTGGGAAGATTGGAATTATTGTTGCTACGGTAGACTTGGAAAAATATGGTAAGGCAACGCACGAAACAGGCGAAATGGCAATACAAAGTCATTGATCTAATGTCTATTGGGAAGCGTGTTATAAGCTCGACAGGTTGGAACCAACAATGAAGAAAAAAGCCGTTGGGCTATACCTTATATCAATTTGACATACATCGTGCTATCGGTAGACTTGGACGGCTGCGGCCGAACTTTGTCAACTGTAAATTGTTCCACAACAACGTTTCTTCACTGGCGAAGTACATCTAATAGCTATTATGCATGCATCCAAATGGGTAAGCTATCTATTCCTTCTTTCGTTAACCAATAATACATTTGTACATCTAATCCTGTAAACTTTATTTTGACGGACAGTGTTCTTTTTCGGATAGAATTCTGATCTAGAAGCTTAATTTGTCCTTTCCAGCCATGACAAACTTGAATAAGTTTGTCTTGGCTTGTCTTGCTTGTCTTGGTCGCGCATTCAACAGGATCGAAACCAACCAGATGTAATTTATTTCAACAGATAGCAGAAGTGGCGACTGCCTCGATGATGTTTTTCTTTTTAAACCCCTTCTCCTCTCTTTACGTTGTTTTCTACGCCAATTTAAATACGTTGCTACAAAAACACTTCCAAGACCTTGACATCTTTTGTAACGTTAATGGCTCCCGCAGACAAAAAAAGAGCAGACGATCGGCAAATTGACCACTAGCGGCCGCTAAACGCTCGACGCATTTGTCGCTGCTGTAGCTTAGAGTGCTTACTTCAGCCGCGTTTCCTCGCGTCCGCGACCCCCCAGGCTAGACTTATTTACATGAAGCTAGTTGACTCGTCGGAAACCCGACGGTTGATGGCCGTGTATCGTTTCTCTGCCGAAAACGCAACGACGTTTTTGGGAGATTACTAATTTATCTACAGGTTCTAAACTCCAGAGTCGCTAGAGCGCGCAATGAAAAAAGGTCACGAGATTCCCAACGGCGTCACATCAACGCCAATAGACAAATTTTCGACTACGCCATGAACAAAGCAACATCCGCTTAGTACAGCCACAATGTCCCGTTATCGTCTTGACTGTTTGCAAATCGGCTTCAGAGCGCGTCGGTCAAACCATCGGATGTCGATGGTCAATAAGTGAAGAACAGTCGGAGCTAGTCAATATCGTCATTGGACCATCAGTGTGTTTTTGTATGCGATATTGAGTGCTCGCCTAAACTGAGCTCGCACGGAAAGCCTTCAATGGAAGCTTTAGCACTTTATGTCAGTTCATAGCTTCCATGCATGCAGAGCAGCAGCAGTTGTCGTCGTCGGACATCTTCTGAGAGCTCGCACCCGCTGAATCGTAAAGCACATTACAAGTGTCGCGACCCCAGTAACATCGGTGTGAAGTCAATCATTTTCTCCCAGTACGGCTGGCATGTTTCTACGTGTATGAAATCTGAAGTCCGTCTGCAGTCCGCCCAGTCCAGTCGATTCATCTAATCCTAACTCTATTACACATGTCATTCTCATTCATACGAAGCCATTGTCTTACAGAACTCTTCAGATAGGTTCTATGTAGAGTACCTTCTCCTTTGCCCATACTGGTTTAATAGTCACCTTATGGCCGACTGGACTGTCCGCTACCGTGAGATGCAGATATCCGAAATTCGACGAATTATGCCCCTTATAGCTAATTCTGCCCCTCTTCTAACAGAGGTATGCGTCCCGGCTCGATAGACATTAATTATTTGTAAAAATCGTAAAGCTTAGCGTTGAATCGAATGCCAGTTATTTTACAACTATACCGTTTTGCTGAGGCGGAAAGATGCATCCGATGAGAGCGGCCTCGAAACTTATCTGCCTATACGGTATAAAGGCAAACTTGTTTAAACTTTCAACTAGTTAATGACAGGTGTTTTGTAGTTCACTGTTATGCGCCAAGGTGATGGCACCGTACCGTTTGCCATGTAATGTCTTCCCTAACTTCAAGTTACTTGAATAGCAAGCCCGAATACATCTTTTTCCATAAAATAAACATGTTTTTGTTGGTCTAGCTAGTTTCTGGGTTCGACGTTAGCAAAGATTTGGTATAGGCTAAGTTCGGTACGTCTTTTTACTCTAAAATTCGATGGGGTACTGAGAAAATGATTAGACGCCGTACAGAACGTCGAGTTAATAACGGCACGCAACTAGCTACAAGGGATAGCTGACTAGTGCTAGTAACAGATTACGATTAAGATGTCAACGGGGTATCATCCATGTGTCTGTTACTTACAAGTAATTATGAATATATGTAAAAAATCGGTCTTTTGATAGCTGGCATAGAATGGATTCGTTTCCCAGTGATCAACGCTGTCGGCAGTAAAACTGATTATAGACAACGAATGATAGGAGTGATAATCAGATTGAGACACGCAGATTAGCTTCCTCAACTTAGCGTTGTAAAGACCTAGAACCGTTGCTTTCAGAGTGGCGACAGATCGGCTTAGAGCTCGAACTTCAATACTGTAACTGCATTGTGGCCGTTGCAGTATCTGCCTGCATCAGAGATGTCCGAGAGTACTTCGAAATGTCACCTTTCATCGAACAGCGTGCACGACAAACGACGAGCGCTCTACCCCCTGTTTTTTTCGATGTCAGGATCAATGTTGGATCTTCACTACATACACTGGGATTTATGGCAAGACGCATGCTCGTTATATATATATATATATATATATATATATAGTTATCATGCAAACAACTATACGTCATACAGCCATAATGCCCTCCTGTTTTGTATACCGGTATATCGAATATAAGTGCCGAACGAAGCGTCAGCGCTGCCTAATAGGATTCGTAACTAGGTTCGGGTTAGCCATACCTCGCTCATTTGGCGTCCAGTGACAAGGTGCCTAATCTCGGTTAGGACCAATTTAAGTAAGGACACCCCTTCAATTGGATAAAGTGCGGAGATAACCCGAAAGCAAAACACATCGATATGGACGCGAATCTCGTCCCAATAGCGAAATATTCTGTTGCGACTGAAAGGCTCTGCGAGAAGCTTTTATGTTCATGGCTTCAACGTCTCCTGGTTGCTGGGAAGTACGCGGTCATTGAAGCCTCCTTCAAGCACGTTGGCGTAATAAAGAAGCACCATAGAAGTTGGGATCAATCTAGATCTTATAATGTAACTGAATCTTGAATGGAGATCGATGCGGTACAAGTCCGACGATTCCGGCAACCCTTCACTTCATTACAAATGTAACATTTGGTTTGAAATGCCGATATTTTAAGCGACTCAGGAATCGCTGGGCTGTCGTACGCTGTTAATACGCCTTCAGCAGACGCATACGTCCGAGCGGACGTTCTCACTTCATTTTATCCAAAAATTAAGGGAAACGGGTTAACGAAATTTCAAGGAAAGTGAGTCCAATCTAATGATGCACAAATTATTTCTTATTGAGCGTATAGGAAAAAAATACTATAAAATAATTTATTTTCTCATGTGTGTTGCTATCGGATGGACGAAAAATACTGCCATCTCGTGATCATTTTCTTAAACTATGATTACTTTCAGAATATTGTGTTTCACTAATAGGCAATTTTGATTCTAGGTGAGGTGAAACCGCTTATCGTTGTTACATCTGAACTTCTACTGCGGCTAAATAAAACTTCTAAACAGTAAGTTAGTGGGCAGCAACAGCAATAATATATAATAATTTGCTCGGACTAGATCGAAATTTAGAAAAATATGGAGAGAGAGTCTGAGAACGCATCTGTAAGCTTCTTAAAATAAAATATCACACCGACATGGTAATGCACGATCTTACGTTTTTGTTGTCCTACGATGCCACGACAACGGCATACGTTGTTTCCCTTAGCTATTGAAATAAATATGATTTTCAGCTACTTTAGAAAATAAGGTACAAAACATAATTTTTTATTAATTAATTAAATTAAAATTAAAAACATAAAAATATGCATTGGCTTAGCTATTAGCCGAAACTCAGATAGTTAAAATTGTGTTTTGTTAGCTTTAAATTTAAAAAAATAAAACTGAGAGATCGCAAGTAAGTAGCATTATAACTAGATGGCTGTATCCGCCCATATTAGACTCCTGAATGTATGCACTAAAGATGCGGGAGGCTATAGAGAAGTTTGGCCTTTCTTACCGGTCTATCCATATCCATTTACGCGCATTGGAATACGAGAAGCTGCGAGTCTTTTTAAGGACCTTGCCGCCCTTCGTTCTCTCGGCGTTGCTGGCGGCGACAACGGCGAGGTCGTGTCCATCAATTGAAATCTGCTCGCTTCGTTGTGCTCCGTGAGACCTGGATTTCCAAGGCCGAAATTTGCTGCTTCAATCCGTATCGTTATGGCACCAGTGATCGACCTCAGCACTAGATAAGCATGTATTGGACATGGCAGAGAAGCACAATACATTAATTTGGGTTTAGCCTGCCTGAATTTTTAATTTTGAATTGACTAAATAATGTGGTAAAGTCCCAGGTCTAAATTCAAAGATATATAAGTAAACTGACGGCATCTGTGCAATTCGGCAGAAATTGTTTGGTTTATGATGCTCCGCGACTTCTACGAGGCGTCTTTCGGCTTAACTCTCGTCACAAGGAAAGCTTCGCTACTTTTTGAAAGAGGCGAAAACTGCTGAAGAATCACTATCGGATCCAGAAATACATACGAATGAGCCATAGTTCCAGGTTTGATGATTTGCTCATTCAAGCCGATAAATCGATCAATCCCACTTGCAATTTATACGCCGAAGGACACGCGAAAGGATTACAGGAGGCGATAACTTGGGGCATTTTCAGGCAGCGATCAAGTGACGGGGAAGAATTGGCCATGGTCGGACACGCCTTCCATACTCCCGATCTGCAGCTTGGCTGATTTTGCTCTTAGTCCTTTGATACAACGCCTTCCACCTCGCTAAAACAGGCATTACAGATAGGACAATTCACTTCACAAGATAAATAGATCATTGGACGATGGCTTATCCGTTGCTAGAGGCAGGGTTACCAATAGTAAACATGAAGCCAGTAGCGGCATAAACGTCCGGTTGAGCTTGAAACCACGGAACATTTTCACCCGTCTGATGAGCTTGTCAGTCAGACAGGATGGTCGACTATTCAAATCTTTTGGGAAAAGTAAACAAAGTGGGTGAAGTAAGCGGGCGGCGGATGGAACGATTCTAACGAATGAATACAAATGTCTAGGCCTAGGCACTAGTCCTCAAGCAGTTGGGGAGAGGGGAAGAGGGGGGTATGCGGTAGTAAAATCAACCAATGTCTCTCTTACTGCTCGCCACCGTCGTCGCTACCGATTTTTCGTTCCTCACTATCCAAGGTTCTATGTGTTTCTTTTACCATCCCCCAGGGAGAAGGGGCGCACGAAAAAAGAGCCCATCGTTTAATCTTACCTTCCTGATTCGCCTGTGTGGGCGGCAGGCTGACTGGTTGTGGTTCGATTCGCCATGTTTACATTCTCAATTGTGTTTCAACCAGTGGCGCCTGTTTGATCCTGTTAATTGATTAGTTTAAGCTTATTGTTTTAATACTAATAATTAAATAATAATAATAAAGTGTATACATTAGGATTTTTATCAGCTAATTTCTATCAGGCAGGTATAAAATATTAATTATAATATTATCATTCACTATTAGGGAATGTTAAAAATCAAGGTATAGCTGCATAAGAGAGATCTATTATTCACAACATGTTGAATTTTAACGAGATATTAATAAATACTAAAAAAATCTCAATGACAATGATTCGAAAGTTAATGTATATTCAGCTTCATTAGCAGAAAGTCTCAAGGACTACCTGGGGCAAGTTGTAAGGGTAAGAAAGTAACTCTTCGATTACTAATCTCCAGAATAGAAATTTTTTTCGCCAGCTTTCCGTAAGGGAAACCTTTTCTTTTTTTAAGGAGGTTTAGGGTAAATGCATTATGCAGACCAGACTTCACAAATGTGTTGTTTGTCTGATACTGTGGGACTCTCACCCGCTAAACCCTGGACCCTTGAGAAACTTGGGCTTTGGTTCGGGATATAGTTTAATATTACTTCGAAACCGTAAAGGAAACCTATCGAGAAACGAAAATACACTACATTCAACTCGCTAGAACATGCTTTGCCTTTGTTCTGCTTGTCTTTAGCCGTAGACATGTTTCTGCTATTTGTACAATGAGTGTGAGACGACTATGATGGATTTTTTTGCTTTAGATATGTCAGCAATAAAAGCCACAAGCTCACAGAGTTTTAAATGGTGTCGTAAAATCGGCATCTCTAGTTTAGCTACTTCCCTGTTAAAAGCAATCGCCAATTATCTTTCATACGATCCTGGAGTCGAGTCAAAACTTCGAGGCTATGTGCTATACACCTTGACCAGTCATACGTTCTGCCCATCGAATCCACGTAGAAGTGTTGAAGAGGTTTTAATTCTCCTTTGTATCAAAATCGTCTTCAGAGCTGGTTATTATTCTTGCTCCTGTTAGTGAGTCTACACACGATATCTATCTATGCTGCGGTTCGATGCACTACGAGCATGTTTTTCCGTAAAAAAACCCGAAACTTTCCAGCATTTGCCTTTGAAGGATTAAACTTGCTAGACTTTGTAATTGCACAGCTCGAAACGTGTTGTGTATTTTTAGCTACCGGATTATATCGAGTGGGGAAGTGGCATCTCTCAAGCGAAAAATTTTATGCTAGCTTACCGCATACAGGATGAGTGTAAAAATTAAAATTACCAAAAAAAAAGAGCCGAAATTCTTCGAGAGTGTATAATCCTCGCCAGTTTCATCTCTTTCGTCTATATGTCATCATTAACACTCTGTTGAAAGGAATTAGTTGTCAAACAATTTCCATAACTCACTTGAGCTGTGGAAATCTCTCGACCCTTTAGATTTGCCTTCGAAGCGATGATTCAGTTCAACGTTCGAATGTTTCTCAATCCGCCACACACTGTTTCCGTCATCTGAAATTAAAAATCAGAAGGCGAAAGCCTGGTAGCTAGTAAACAGTGCCCTGTCTCTATGGGCTCGAATGGATACTCGTTCAACAGGTGCTTTTGAGAGCCTGCGTCAGTGTGCAATACCTGCTGTCCTTTCGAGAGTGCTTGGCTTGCTGATATGTGTTCGTGTACATATATATTTGTGTACACTCGCCCATTTGCTAGTCGACTTGTCATAGCGCTTGTTTATAGTACAGATATCTGTGTCTGAAACATGTGTAGGGTAACACAATGGCCTATGGCAACTGACAAGTACCGAGGCTGCAGGGCCTATTGTTAGTCTTTTATACATCTGGCCGTTTTTGTGTGGCAGGTATAGGCTCACGTCCGCTAGCTGAACACTGTTATTTCGGTTCAGATGATTTTGATCTATAATGGTTCATCTCTCATGGTTCTATAACGATAATGGAGGCTAATTAAAGCTATACTTAATCACAATTGTCTACTTTTCACTCTTGTTTTACTGTTAAAGATGTTTATTACCGTGGTCGCACCAACGCAGCCGTGTCCAATATAGAGGCGAAAAAGGCATTAATGCACTATGACTCGGTAAAAATGCTTTCCACTTTTGTTCTGCGAGTCAAGCATTGCTTTCAGGGGCTTGGCTTCTTCCAGTAAAAAAATGCACCCCCGATTTCTAACGTCGACGACTTTACTAAGCACCCCTACGTATTGTAGGCAAATACGTTAGTGCTGCACCCTCGTGGGGACAGCATCTAATGCAACGGCCAGAACAAATAAAATTAATTGAAGACGTTCCTAGAAACCCGTAGAAATGGATACAGATGTCGTCTGTGATTTACGCCAGTAAATGCAATCTAAAGCTGACCGCAGAGACGCTTTCTTCATTCTCTAACGCCGACACTGATAGTCTAAGCGCGTCTTGACGTCTGACGTCTATGTGGCGAATGCTCTTTGAAAAGTAAACGCCCTATACAAAACAACGAATACATCAGTCTATGGCGGAACAATGCCCAATACACTTTCTTTGAAACGAGCAGAGTAAGAGAAGACAGGTTTTTCTAATTCAGCAATAACAACAACAAAATCAGTGACGGCTCAATGATGACCAGCACAGTCATCTGGAAACAGCGAAATGTTCATACTTCCACTTTTGCTGGGGCTACTAGAGGTACTGCGACGTTGGCTTTGAAGCTCGCTCCCCTTTTTTCAAATCTTTAAGCCGGGTGATTAATGTTACTATTGCTGTCGTTGTTTCTTCTGCGGATGGTCTTCGGGGAGTATCACTCGTAGACTAATGACTTCAAAATTCATGATATACCAGACTTTAATGAATAATTTAATCTTATAACGGTACGATGAATCCCATGGCGCTGGCAGTCCTATATAAGCGCTAATAGTTGTTCGCAAAGTAAAACATGTTTTTATGTTTCACGTCCGATTTTCAAGCTCTTTAGACCAGCTGGAATGGATTAGGACCTATATGACTAAAGTTTAGCAAACCAGCCCGTAACCCCGTTACGCTACCACGAAGACGTTCTGATGCTGTCAGGGTCGGTGAAAATAACAACACAGATTAGCTCGAAAAAGATTACACAGACATCGATTAGGCATACGAAGTCCAGTTGGCTTTAAGCCCTTTCAGATCAAAATGGTGCGGTCTCCACCTTCGCAGCTGTCGGAGGGAGATATGAGTCAAACCGTTTTAGCAATTAACACGTTCCCTGACTATAGCGGCCCTAAGTATAACCAGCAAAATAAATCTTACATATTTACTCATAATGACAGCCATTCCGTTAAGATAGGAATTCTGTAGAGGCATGCCTAAGAAAACTGTAGCCTAGAAACCTCCTGCCGATCTAGAAGTTAATGCACTCACTATAGCTAACTGACTAATTTTCTTTCGAGCAGAAATGCAAATATGGGTCATACATGGGTCTTTTGTTTTGCCCAAAACTGATTTTAGATTTGTTAGAAGTCAATAGTAATTTATAGATAGACGCCTGATTAGGTTCTAAATACTATATATTTTAGGACATATAGGTTTCCCAATAGACTACAACGAGTTAGGTATTCACAAAGGGGCCTCCCAGGATTATTACCTACTATCAGAGCTACTTACGGCTGAGATTTCTATCAGCTACGCGAAAGTTGGCTAAGTATGGTTATGTTCAAGTAACGTAGTACACAAAATCTGTCTTTTTTCTAGAGCAAAAGAGTACACAGTATAGTTAGGGGGGGGGGGGGTATTCGTCTTCATTTAAACGCGTACCGCACACTTTCCAGCAAGTAGACTCTGAAGAAAGATTCCTGCCAACTCAGCGTGTTGCTACTAGTTGTTGCCTATTCGAAATTAAGCTAGAAACCTATCCACCTTGTAGTCTATTCCTCGAGACAAACTGGAAGCCAGTCTAATTCGAGTCGGTAGTCCAATACCGGCTGTTTTGCCTAGTCGTACCGACGGCTACCGACAGACGACTTCTGTTAGGATTTTTCTTTTCGAATCGCCTCCTGCAACAGCGCCTAGCCTACCTCCATATTGCACCCCCCATCCCTAATACAAGCAGTTGTCAATTCCCGGTTCATCCAATGCGATTGCCATATAACGTCGGTAAGCTATAGCTCCTCCTGCCGTCATTGTCTTGGCTCCTGTGGACAGGATAAAGGAAAACCAGGCGTTAAGTCTAATAGGTACCAGCCCGTGGAGGTTTCTCCCTAGAGACACGTTGGTGGACCAAGCAACACTCAAGCGCCGGCATGATTTTGTTGCCAAGTTGTCTGATCGGTCCAAACAAGGAGAGTTCTGTCACAACGAAGTTGCGAGCTTATGGATCACTAACTCCTAGCAGAATTAGGTTTAAGTGAAATTCTTTCGTTAGTTGAGTCGTTCGTACGTAAAGTCGAACAGTCGACTCAGTTTGTACCGTGAGTTCTTGCTGAGCGTTGTTGCCTTAAAACCAATGATCGCCTGCTTGGTCCTGCTCTATCGCGAACTGTCTAAACGGGAGAACTGACTGTTGTAAAATAGGCTTGCCCTATAGTTACTCTAGCTGGTAGAGTGCTCTGGCCGTTGGCGAATCAATTAGTGACACAGCTGTTGTGGTAGCTATTGTGACGAGAAGGCAGGTTGTGCAGGTGGAAGGAGATTCGAAATTGAGCAGACGTTCAACTTGGTCCCCTGTCTGAGTTGAAACCTGTCCTATCTTTCTGTTACCTCTCATTAGTGTAAGCTTTTGAGAAGTAGCTAGTTTTGCTTCTGTTGACCGTCGCTAGGCGTTTCTCAGGGTTACATTGTGCTAACATCTATGACCTTGTAGAACTAACCTAATCTTTATGACATCAGTCTTTGGTAATCCACTTCCAGTTGCTAATCTTATTCTACACGCCTGCTGATGCGGGATCACACGCATGAATTTAGTAATGTAATTGCGTGGCCCCAATATATTAGCTACTTGATGATACATGAGGTAAGGAAAACCCTCCAGTAATCAGGCGTTCCTTTCTAAACCGCTAATAACACAGGAGCTGCACCTAGAATTTGCTAAGGAACAACTGTTAGCATGGTCTGGGCTTAGAGTAGGAGGATATCAGCTGTCTGAAAATCGGCAAGAAAGACACTGGGACAAATCGGAACAGGCCGAATTTAGTTTTATATTGCTCTTTTGAGTATTACCTATTCTATTGAACAATTGGTACTGTCAATAGGACAACATCTCGTCGGCCGGCACGGACTAAGGCAAGCGCTCGCATACGCTGTTATGCTGTTTGATTACATTATTATTTATACAGATTCACACTTCGGAGGCAAGGCCGCAACCATCTGGTTCCAACCAAAGCCAGTTCCTGAACTGTTACTGAGCTTAATATAATTCCGTTAATCTACAGCCACAATTGTTGTTGTTGTTAAATTGAGACCATCTCATGTGACTTAATGGTCTACAAATTCAATTATAGGTACATGTAAGTGGCACGTCTGTGGGGATCAGCTAGCGTCCAGGGATGCTTCTTAAGGCTACAGGCCATGTAGGCCTGGTTACGTTTACTCAGTGAATTGTCATTTGTTATTCTGTTATATAACTAGTTAGGTAACCGTATTGCTGTCGTCAACGCTTATGTATACACGTGAAAAAATACCATTTGAACATAATGCCCGAAAATTTTGGCATCAATTAACTTAAGGAAATACGATAGTTATTTATTTACAAGTTTTCCATATTCCGACCGAGAGTTTCTCATAGGGAATGGAGCTAACTGGTCAAATGCTTCTTTGACAAAGAGTAAGAGTCTGCTCTTCTCTATAGAGTGTGCTGTTTTCCACAATGCTAATTTGGCTGGTCGTAACCGAACGATAGCAATTTGCTCTTATTCTCCACGTTTAGAAACAGCGCCTCACAAACCAAAGCGGTCACCAGTGTCACCCACGTTGATATATTATCGGTGCAAAAATCGTATTGCTGCAACTTACGTTGCGCGACAAGCCATATGCTACCTAGCATAATGAAAAAATTGTTAAATTAAAGTTATCAAATAATAGCTGACGACTATCAAACTTTGCCCCTACTATCAGTGTAACTGGCTCTTAACTTCTGCACAGTAAAACGAAATGTGTTTAATAGCGAAACAAGCGCGAGACGAAGTCTGCGAGTGGCGCCCTAGTAGTTCTCTAAAACGCGTCTGACATGCAGGACACGTCTACCTTGCTTATTTTGCTAATTCAATCACTACGGATGGCCTATATTTTGTTGGCTTTTTCTGGGCTGAAGTCTGCAACTGTTACACGGCATAACAGGATCCCTTAAGCTACGCAACAGTCGACCGAGGTACTCTTACTTATCCCACTTCTCGCTTCGCGTCATCAATCTAGTAGGTGTGATTCGATTATTGCCCGTGCCTCTCTATTATTATAGTTTTTATTTTCCATTAACCTGCTAAAAACCTCGAGCAAGATTGCAGCCACTCTACTTTTCAGAAGTAACGCCAAGTACAACTAGGCTAAAATACGCCCACAACACTTAAAGCCTTTAGCATTACTTGAGCCTTAAGCATTACAGAAACACGCACGAGTTAGAATTATCCTAACCCCACGCCATCACAATCAATCCCAGCAGTCAGTCCTGTTCTGTGAGCGGAAACCCTACAAAGTGTTTCGCTTTTGTCTATTACCTCCATGAGCCAAAACGACGGATGGACATAACGATTAGTCAAGTCTTTGTCTGTTGTTTTTTTATTTTTCTGTTTCATCGCTCGTTCATCGCCACCGTAAAACCCTGATCACGTAGTAGCACACTAGAGCTTCTATTCACGCCTTTGCAGATCTACAGCACTGAAAAGCGCTCTACGAAGCAGGCCTGCTTTGTTTGTATGTTCCTGCGCGATCGAACCGTTAAGTGCGTTCTACTTATGCTGTCTGCCGTTATCGTCGCCGACAAATCGTTAGCGTTAGGTAGCAAAGTAATAATAACAGCCGAGCGCAAGGTAAGTTAATATAACTTAAGGGTGACTAGATACATTGTGCGATGGCACTGTACGTAAAAGGCTCTCCCAGAAGCAACTCAACGACAAGTGTCACTCGACAGGACAGAACGGTCGGGCGTTCTGTCCCGGAAGGAGGAGAGGAAAGTCCCGGAGGAAAAAAGGAAAAGACAGACGATTAAAAGAAAGGAAAACAAACGGAACGGGGACAATATGGTTGGCGTATTAGGCATCTTGCGGCAGGCCTTTAAACACAACACGTTGAGATCTGCTGGCATCATTGATTACGCATTGTGCTACCACTACTTCGTAGATAATCTCTTTCAAAGGCTCACATTAGCCGAGACACAAACTAGCAGTAGAACTAGCGGATTTGCGCGAAACTGTAGACGATTTCGGGGTTTCAGCAGTGACGTTCCTGCGACCACTTTATAGAACAGGTAGCAGCGACGCTAAAACCTGGGTTGTGTAGAGCTTTTTCGCAGTAGTAAAGTGGGTCCCACCGTCACTGCACAGTAAGGGCCGTAGCCGTAACAGCTGCAGATCAGCAATATCAGTTAGTTACTGTTGTAATGAGCCGTCATAGTATTGGCAGTTGAGTTGCAGAGATACATGGTTTAGATTTAGTCTCGGGAGAGGGAAGATGGCGGAGAGGGGTGCATTGACAATCAATCCTGTGCGCCTCAGAATGACGTTCTACTGTCAGTGTCGTTGTGGATGGGTGGAGTTTGCCTGGCGAAAAAATAATAATGAAGAAGTTTCTTACAAGAATCTACTGCAGGGGGACCACTGACATCACAAGGAACCTCAGGGGTGACGTTTTCTTTTCGATGCTTTGTCCCTACGTAACGTCTCTAGTAACTTGCAGGCGTGAATTATGACATATTCGAATTGTCGCCAACGCTAGTAACAGCTATCAGGTGCTTTCATTGCCCTGGCTGAGTTTGCGGAAGGTTAGGTGTCCTGGCTCTATGCAACTCCATGGTGTGCTTCCTGCATAATTCGGCCTGACCGGACAAATTGGGCGTGTCCCGTAGTCACGTACATTAGTACAGAGAGGGTGAAGTAACAGCTAAATGGCATTTACGTATATATACTTATTATTATTATTATTATATATATATTCATTTTTGTTGGGTGGAATATCTTGTCTCAAAATCATTGAGTGTGACAGAGTTTACTTTTAGCGATCACATTTAGGTCACGTCATAAATTTGTTTACGATAATTTTGTTACTTTATTCTCAGGATTCGATATTAAAGTACATATAAGAAGAATATATGCAATATTATTACAAGAGAGAAAAATAGGTTACCTGTTCCCTCAGTTAGTTTTCTATGAGAAATTAGTTATTTAAAATATTAGACAATGATCTAAAACATGTCAGCAGTTCAGAGCTACCATCGGCAACAATACTTCGTGTTCAGTCTAGTAGATACTATTTAAGCTCGGATAGCGTTTGTATTGGTGGAAGCGTAGGGTACAAGAGTTACGCAGGCGAATTTAGATTGAGGAATAGAGATAGGACTCTGAACTAAATTTTGGTACGATAGGGGTACAACATAGATACGAAAAATTCGTATCTTTGTTGTACCCCTATCACCCCTCTCCCCCCCCCCTTATCTTAGGCGATACTCAGCTGTAGAATCGAATTAGAAAACAAGGAGGCCGTTCTAGGGCTATACAATGCCTGGAGAATTCAAAGGTCGCGATGCCGGAAGATGCCAAAGAGTATACGTGGGCGCGCCAGAGTGTCGTCATAAGAACGACCTTTTGGTTCTTCTTTGTGTGAAGTGTCATTGATATATGCTAGGTAAAGAAGAAGATGAAGACAAAAGGATTAACCTTAACATTCTCATCATCCAATGTTCTCCTGAATTTGAGATGCGCCCTCGTTAAGGTTGGACCGCCTCGTGTCTTCAACTCTTGGACTCCTGGTTACCCTGGCGTCCAGAGCATAAGTTCCAGAAATACAGAAGGTAGAACGTTCGAAGGGTGTGTCTCTGACTTCCGAGTCGACTCTACCAAGTAGTGACTCTAAGAAAATCGCTTTGCAACAAGGCCCGGTTTTTGCCCTTTTTGATGCCTTTTGCATTTATGTGGAGTTATACAGTATATATATATATATATATATATATATATATATATGAACTTTTTTCTTAACAGATCATATACTCCCTGCGCATGTTTATTTTGCTATGATGGTTATAAATGCTAGTTTTCTACCCATATATAACTTTTATTAGTAGGGAAACTCTCTGATAAAGAAAAGTTTATGTGTATTAACTTTGAACATACAAATGTTGGGCTTATATATCGGTTTGACATAACGGTAACCCAGTTCCAAGAGTTTAACCCGATATACCTTCGATGCGTTGAAATTGACATTGACAACCGACATTGACTGGAAGTCATCCGCTCGGCCATACCTGTGTTCTCCAAACCCTCAACTATGGCTCTAATTCTAACCGGGTAAGCTTACCACATCTATGTCTTGTGAAAAACGCAGTATCCACCAATAACACGAGATTTTATCATAAAATGTAACGGAGTCCCGAACAAAATGCTTGAGCTGTAAGAGAGCGTCGAAGAAACTATTCTAGCAAACAAAGGAAGATACCTACGACAGGGGGCCCTGCATTTCAAAATGTGACAGTATCTGTTGTCATGTTGACCGTACAATGCGCCGTCCGCCATCATTTACGTAGTGACACATGTCAAACAGCCACCCGCTCGAACGTTGCTAATGATTCTGTTTGCAATAGTTTTGTGGACGCTCGTCTGGACAACTCTGTTCTGGCTCTGATACGATTTCGGTCCTGTTACATGGTGATTGAATTGTTCGTTAAGAATTATTCTTAGCACGTAAAGCGATTACCACGCTTTGCGCTTGACAACAAGATATCTATTACCAACTCACATTGCACACTTATCATTTCTCTCATCATGAAATCTTTGTCGATCTCAGCAACAACAAAGAAATAATATAAACGTCTTAGCCGACCTTTTTCTCTATACTTCACCGACTCAACGACTCAGTTGAAAGCTACGATAAGAGATAACCGTGCCGTGCTTAAGAAGCGCTGTCGATTTCCAACACCAAATACCTCGGGAATTTTCCGATCTCAAAAGTGAGAGACGCTTAAAAATCGCTATCCAGTGAAGTCGAATTTCCGGTTTATCGTCGGACATTTTGAGTGGTGTCATTATTATTGTGTCTACTACTGTTTCTAAGATCCAGTAAAAATGAATCCTAATTGAGCGACTGCGGCTACGGTATTGACTCCTCCAGCATCGACTCGTCCTGCCCCTTCGAGGAGTGGGGCACGACTATTCGACTGCACGCCGCGCGGCTAAAGGGCCAACCAGCTAGCTCAGTGATTAAGTGGCGAACAAAAATTATATCGGTTGGGCGACTACCACCATGGCTGTCGTAGCTCAGGCCTACAAGAGAAAGCGTGGTCGTCAAGGTAAATTCGGTGACAGGGCCTGGGAAAAGACAAGTACGCTATACTGGCACTGTTCGTCATCTGTGTCTCGTGGCAACGGCGTTATTTAACCAAATCGAACAAAATGGAAGACTCGCACGTTGTCGGAGTCAGCGTGTCGGTAGTCGTTAAAATAGCCCATGATGGAGCTGTTTTACGGATGCTGATGAACATGTGTGTTGGCTATATATTAGATAAGAAAGCTTGTAGGAACAAATAGATAAGCAGAAAGTGATTCAAGGGTAGGTGTAGACATTTTCATTAGTAAATAGCCGATGGATAGATGGTTCACTGCGACGATACTTCGCAGAGAAAGAAAAAGTAATTCAATTACGAGCATACCTGTACTTGCGAACAACAGCCTCCGATAGCTAACTAACTGTATCCTTTAGAGGATGGTTTTCTGTAGTCACCAAGCGATATCCCGTTTCGTTGCACACTATAAATGTCTATTGCACTATTGTTCGGTGGGTCGAGAACATTCGAAAAAGCGACCTGACGCTCACGTCGGCCTAATACAGGCAACGCTTCCTACAAGGCTTCTCCCGACTCCACAAAGCAGCTACCTATATTCGTTTTTAAAGTTCCTCTACTAGCTGCAGCTGTTACTGCGCCTCACCGACGCATTAGCCACAGAAATTCTCTACGGAGTGCGAAGCGTTTTGCTTTCGTCGCCGTTCGTGCAACGGCTGTAAACGTTTTTTAGTAGCTGTCACCTCTCGTAGGGTCGACTTTTGATGACGACGGGAGAAGCTCCTACAATAGATCGGTCATCTCACTTTTTTTCAGCGCTGAGGCTTACCTGGTCTGGCTCTTTCCTTTCTCTATATTTCGTTGCGTCACTTTTGCTAACGAACGTCTGACATAATAACGCACAGTTAGCTGCTTCTCCAAATTGTCCTTTCCCTGAGCCCCGTTCTGCTTTGCAAAGATACTGACAGCTTTTTTGCGCGGTTATCGTTTTCAATCGTGAAGTAGTCGGCAAGGCACCACGCTTTTGTGCTATTTTCCCTTTTCAGGAGTACGGCGCGGAATGCGTTATTCTACCCAAGCTGTGTGGCTTCACACATCACACAGCTTGGGTCAATGTGGCATCGACGGTCCAATTAGATGGGGAAACCACGTACGAATTTTGCCGACATAGTATGCATAGAAATGCTTCGAGTCTATACCGGACAACAATGGTTGGCGATTGCAATCAGAGGAGACACATTAAGGCGTAAAAGAGATGTGTTTACGTCCAGGTGGAACGTTTTAACTATCGGGTTGGGACGCAGCTACTAGCAAGCTAGCTACTACGATCCATCAAAACGTTGTGACAGTACTTACTTAGCCATTTTAGGACTACTTGAGAAAAAAACGAGACAACGAAGGAACTAAACAAATCATGATTAAGCAGACAGCGTTGTTTCTGAATAGCTCGTCCTAAACGCTACTTTCAAATAGAGCTTTGCTGAAGGACATTCACGATAAGGGGTCGTTGCATAGCGACGTGATAGACGCCATATTAAATAGAATTGCTGCCATACGCTAGACTATGATCCTAACGCCGCGAGGTTCAGTCTCGCATCAATTCGTGTAAGTACATTGGCGATTGCTTAAAATTATTTCTTGGGTGGTCGAGAAAAGATAATTCGCTCTTAAGAGCCGCACTGGGATTCAAAGTTGAATAGTTACAAAGTTTTTCGAATATAAGAAATAATGGTTTATACCCTAGACGTGGTCTAACCTGGACATTTTAGATGATTTTTGTAAAATATTAAGGGACTGCATTACCATAAGCTACGTACAAGCAGTAAAGCGCCAAATAAAGACCTAAATCAGCTACTTGAATTGAAAAGGGAATGTCCTAGACAGAATAGTTCAAACGGGCCCCATTACATCACGAATGGGCCTCATCTCGCTTTGACGACCTAGAAACTTTGGCATACTATGCGTGGGAAGTGCTTTTACGTCAGGCCTATAGACAATACTGTGCTCCATCAAACCTGTTTCGGGTTTCGCCTGTTCGGATTCATGAACCATGGCCTACAGGGGAATCGATTCAAAGCACATGAAGGTACATTTTTAGTTTCAATGGTTCCTCTCTGTTTGTGCCTATTTCGTTTGCGAAGAAATCTATCTTATTTTCATGTTTTGAGGAAAATGCGACGATGGGTATCGTGCGTCACTGTTACATTGTTTCGTACGACGACATGGCCTACAAAGCTATATTTCAGTTTGAACTGAGATGACCAAACGAAGAAGGGCCAGTAAAAAACAATGTAAAAATTCGTTCCGTAGACTTAGTTCATGATACAGTTCTTACACAAAGTATGGTAGCAACCAAACGTACGGGTCCCTAGCCAATGTTGTTTCAACGATATTGCGCGTAACGTCATCATGTGGGGATGCATTCCCTTTAAATGGACGTCAAAAGGGGCAACTATTACTCTTATTGCAACTATTACGTTTGCTTTGCCTTTGCGCTTGATAAAGAACTGTTGCAGAGAATTACCACAGAAGTCCGCCCATACTCTAAGGGCAGAATTAGTAGAAATCAAAGGGCGGGTGGAACCGATCTGGATGAGCTGACTTGTCTCGATTACGTGTTCTGGTCTCCGCATGAACCGAACCGTGTTTGGATTGTCTCTTAAAACAGGAAACTCGAGAATCGTCAGAAAGTTAAACGAACGGGAAGTTTATAAAATAAAGTTAACTAAGCTTTGTTTTACTAATGGCCGACATCCAGCAAACTAATCTCCGGCATATAAGCAGCCATGCAGAAAATCCTGCGCTTGATCCTCTATCATAGACTCGTTATTACTTACACTAGAACTATCACTGGGCTAGCAAGCAAACGTCAAGGAAAACAGCACTGCAATAGGGAATATAATGGCAATTTTTATTACGTTAGCCGCCTGCTGCAGTTTATGCCGCCATCTGCCGCGTCTGTTATTTAGAGCCGCTGCTTATTTTTTTGAATAGCATCAGAGAAGCATCGTTCGCAATGAGAGCAATGGTCAACTAATCTGCGATTCTATGAGCTATTACACGTTTGGCCTCGTTGTTACGGAATAGTACAAGGCTCAATTCAGGCTGAAAGAATCACGTATATATATATATATATATATATACAGCATACTTTGATTGAGGGGTCTTTTTGAGATAGAATTTCTTGCAACCGCTTATGCGGCCGGTCTCAAACAGCAGTGTTAACGCTCCCGTCTGATTATACCACCGTCTATGCAATAAACTTGCGCTTGAATCGTCCTATAGTAGCACAGGGCGCTATCTGGGTACCCTGTCAGGCTGCTTGTACAAAAATTTCGATGTTATTTTAGGATAGAAATTCGAGCAAAATAAGTTGGTATAATTGTAGTATGGCGATGCGAAAAGTATCGTTTCGTTCAGATGTATAACCTATAAATTGCAGCTGTGAGTTTTATACAATATCTTTATTATACTCGCCGCAAGTTCACAAACAACACTAACTGAAATGGGAATTTTTATAAATAGTAGCAGTATATATATACACGTTGGCCTATCAAAAAAAGTATTGACTATTTTGAAGCAAAATTAAAGAAAGTCCTTTTTAATATTTAAAACAGTGTTACAAAATGAAATATGCCCTATTCTGTAGTTTCTGGATGAAACGTGCTTGTTGTGTCTCCGCATTGAAGCCAAATAAACACTATTAAGGGAGTTCTGCACGGACCGAAACCGATTAGAGACGGACCAGTATCCGGGCTATACGGCGAATGCATTAAAATTTTTTCCATTAAAGTTCCCCCAGTTTGAACCAGGTTTCTAAATATATATGTGATCTTTTCGCATCAATTCGTGCAACGCCCAGACGTGGGGCTTTTTTTTTTAATTTAGCTTTCATTAGATGATCTAACACTGTTTTGTAGTGCACGGTTCGTTTTTCTGCTGACTACTCAGGTATTGCCCATTTTCTACAATAACTTCGTCAACTTTTTTTTTGCAACTGCTCGCTTACTATATGGAGCATCTTTCGTCTGCATGAAAGCGACAGGACCATTTTAAAGCCTTTCTTCCAACAACACATCTTGACCATAAACAGCTTAGCCTATTAGGCTCGGGCCGCCTATAAAATCTACTGAATTTTTGAGTAAATTTCACTCATATTTTAGATGCTCCATCTTAAATCTAACTAAAAGCATTCGAATAAGCTTAGCCAATATTCTTTGGACATTTTATTCTTTTTTTATTAATAGACCGGTCTATGCGTTCAAAGTTTATTGCTTATCCCAACTAATCCACAGCTACGCAGGAAAGCTCTCTGTAGGCTAAGCCGTTGAGCAACCGATCCTGCATCAACCTACTAATACCTAAACGTTTGACTACCGTAAAGCCAGACGTGTTCTTCAAAGATCAGTTTATCTTTACCACTTATCGAGTAGAAAACAAGCAGCCTCGACGACGCCTATGAAACAGACTGGGTAACGCTAAAACAGCAGACAATAGGAATTCTTCCTCGATGTATAGCTTTACAATTTATTCGGATGATTCCTGATGTTGAAACTCAAGATACTACCGAGCAACTATAACAAATTAATTCTACAGCACCATCGTATTACACCGCTAAGCCTTTCTGTCCTACAATACAGTAAATAGGACCCTTTACAAGAAAAAAAAATAAACGAAAATCTTCGAATTCCGACAAGGACTTTACTAAACAGGAGCAAGCGTATGTCTTCATTCGGCCATGTCAGACTAAACAGAGGGGTAGACTACTGTGATAGCTCAAATATGGCACAAATTGTTTTTTTCCATCATTATAGATAGCAGTCCTATAGCGTCAATTAGTGCTCTTCACGACCGCATTTACGATGTGTTCTATAAATATTATTATTAGAGGTACTTTTATTATTGGTGTTACTACTATTGTCCTAGTAGTAATACGAATAATAAAAGGGCACTAGATACTGAAAAGCGTACGTAAGACGCAAACGTGTACGCAATCGTATTTAATTCCGGTTGCTTCCTAGCTGACACAGACCACGCGCGCAAGAAACTAATCTCCGTATGATACGTCATATTTGGTATTGCACAAAGTATCAGAACGCGGCAGATCATCCTAATAGGGAATGAGTTGTACATACGTTGATGTAATTCTAATTGGGGCATTGGTCGGAGGGCTGTTTTTTGTGGTTATCCATGTATGCTCTATGTCGGTCGAACCAGTTGATTTTCTCACTCATCGCGCTGAGCTATCAATAGAAATGAATGTGATTAGCTTGTATAATTTGCTTCTGTGCGGGAGAAATTTGGTGCACCTGACTTCTAGGGCTTCGTATGTTCTGCGTTGAAATCACTGACATGCTAGTCGAGGACCGGCAAGGGATCAGGCAAAGATCAGCTAAAAATCTTGATACCACCAGTATTCCCCATCCTATTGATATTCATTTATAGATTGCAATTATAGTAATCTGTGCGAGTGTCAAAAATTGAAGCAGTAAAACTTGTTAGGTTGACAAAACACGCTTAAAATCGGTTGAACCAGAGTGGTCGTGCAGTTTCCGACACCTCCTAACATAAAAAAGTGACAGAATTTGAGCACTAATGAATCTAATGAAAACTGGCTTCTCTTCAAATTTCGTTGATACCAAAAACAACCGCGTGACGCTTTGTTTGCCCTTCTCTAACTAACGTTACCGTAGCAAAAAAGAACGACACGCACTTCCAGACGCGCCCAAATACGTTACACGATCACAAAAGTCTGTTGGTTCAGCCCTCCTTCCCCGTTCCGCCGCCGACATTAGATTCAGCCGAAGTTTCTCTTTCATATCTTTTTAGGTCCGTGGAATATTTAGTATTCCGTTAGTAGATTTTTAGGTAGCCATCATATTAAGATGACATTTGGCCTGATTGGTAATGTAATGAAGGCTGGAGCCAAAAAAAACCGAAAAGGTATTCAGCCTCTTTTGCCGGACTCGTGAACGCAACAGAGCAAAAGGATATGGCACGTAAAAATGTCAATCGAGCAGCTTTCAGTGCTAATACTCTTGTATCGACAATCATTTAACCAGAGTTCCAACATAGGAAAAAAGTATAAAGCTACTTTGAGATAATTCCAGTAAGTACATGAGCTCAGGAGGACTGGTTAATTGTTTCGAAGGCTCGTATCTGAAAAGATAATGGTTCCTAGTGCGATATCATTGTTTTTGCGAAGCAACGCTTAAACGGACTGAGCCATAAATCGGTATTTCTCTATAAATACGAAAGACACTCGAAGTGAAGAACGTCCAATTTGTACAAATTAAGAGGACGGATTCC